AAGATGGTCTGGATAGGCCACAGACATACCATAAACATTTCTACCACCCATAATTGGTCTGCTTTAAACATCTGAGTGGTGCACTACTGCTACTAGTGGTGAGAAAGTGTATTACACCTTATTCAAAATCACTGCAGTCCCACGGCCCTCTGTGGCCCAAAGTTAAAAACTGTTGTTCTTTTGAGGCCCTCAAGGTGGCGCTCATGGCCCACAGTTGGCCCACGGCCCATGGGTTAATAATTTCTGCTCTAAATGAAACCTCTTCCCTCTGTTTTGTTCACTTCCTGTTACACAAGCTGCCCTGTTCATTTCTGCCCTCCTCTGTCTCCTCCTGCAGTTTTTGCCAACGATGGTTGACCCGTCGGAGGCTGAGGAGCAGACTAAATGTAAAGGCTCACACCTGGACGCACCGCTCGTGGCCCCCGGAGACCCTCGACAGCCAGAGCAGGCTGACGGTGCAACAACAGAAGAGGAAGGAGATGCCGGGTTTGAGACCCCGCCCTCCGAGCCCAGCCCCCGCCACACTGCGTCGGGGCCGGAGGTCACAGCACCGGCGCCAGCACCGGACACAGACCCATCCCCCAAACTGCACCTGGACCTGTACAACTTCGACTGTCCGGCGGCAGAGGGCAGCCGCTACGTGCTGACGAGCCCCCGCTCTCTGGAGGCGTGTGCTCGGTGTGGAGTCAAACCTGTGGAGCTGCTCCCCCGGCTGCTCGCTGACTTCATCCGCGAGGCGCCGGGCCGCTCCATGCGCGTCGCCACGGGGCTGTTCGAGGTCTACGAGAGGGACAGACACGGCAAACTGAGGCAGTGCAGGGAGGAGAGGGAGAGGATCGTTAGAGAGGAGAAAAGAAGGATTCTGCAGGCGGCAGTCAACAGCAGTGCTCCTTCTGCCTCTGTGGAGAAAGGCTCAGTCGGCTTTAGTCTACCTCCCAAATCTGGACCAGCATCCACCTGCTCAGTCCCTGATGGAGGGGGTTCCTCTAAAGCTGCGTCATCAAGTCCAGCACCTAGAGCAGGTGCTAAAGACCACAACTCTCTGAGTACCTCCCCCAAATCTGCCCCCTTTTTRAAATCAAGTTCGCCTGTTTTCAAGGGTGGTGTTCAAGGAGCTGCCAAACCTGCAAAGTCCCATGAACAGGTCAAAACCWCGAGACCACCATCATCTGGACCCCCACCAGTGGTCAAGAAGTCCACTGGTGGTAAGACCTCCAACACCTTCCCCAGATCAACACCCAAACCTCCTTCCTTTCCCAGAGCCAACTCCACATTAARGTCATCGGGGTCCAAGCCCGCAGCTCAGAGCCCCAGCACACCTGTGAACGGGACGTCCAGAGGGCTGTTCTCACAGCACAACGGACATCTGGGCCTTCATCTGAAGATGAGAGGGAGGAGCCACTCACTGGAGTCTCTGCAGCGAAGGATGGATCCCGTCTGCTCCTCCACCTCCACAACAACAACYACATGCACCTCCTCAGAGTCAGGAGCCTCCTCCTCCTACAGCTGGGACGGCGCTCGAGATCACTGGGCCAAGTTCTGCAGTCCTCGAGCTCGCACTCTGGCCACGTTCAACTCGCTGATGGGTCGAAGCCTGAGCRTGGGCGACCTGAGCCACTCCCCTCAGACCACGCAGAAGGTGGAGCGCATCGTGAAGGAGGTGAAGCGTCGAGGTCTGAAGGCCGTGTCGGAGCGGGACCGTAAGATCGCAGCGTTGATGCTGGCCCGGTACCAGGAGGAGGACATCATGAGRCAGACCCGCTACGTGGCCCACCTGCAGTGGGACAGCGAGCGCAGGATGGAGGAGCTGCGGCGCGAGCAGGAGGACAGGGAGAAGCAGCGCGCCGTGCTGCAGTGTCAGCGCGTGTGGCACACGCAGGTCTTCATACGGCAGCAGAGGCTCAGCCTGCAGGAGCGAGAGTCGGCCACGGCCCGGCTGCGACAGGCCGAGGAGCACGAGGAGCGCTGGAGGGAGCTGGCAGAGCAGCAGGAGCGCAGTCGCCTCCTCAGGCTGCAGCAGGCCGCGCGAGAGGAGAAACACAAAAAGTCTCTTCAAGAGCAGAACCTGAAGGCCCTGGAGGAGGAGAGGGCTGCCGTGCTGGAGCAGGAGAGGCTGCTCCTGAAGGAGAAGCTCACCATGGCCGAGCTGAAGAGGCAGGAGAAGGAGCACCAAGCCCAGGAGGAGAGGAGAGGGCTGAACAAAGCCGAGAAGCGCCGCCACGCCGCCCTGATCCAGGAGATCGCACGCAGAGAGCAGGAGGAGCGGGACGAGGCCAGGAGGGCGGCGAACCAGAAGCTGAGCCGCTCCCTGGAGAACTACGAGCAGATCGTGGAGCGCCGAGGCCAGGAGCTGAAGGAGAAGGCCAGGCGTGAGGAGAACCAGATCCAGAGAGCACGCAGAGCGGCGGAGAGGCGCGAGCGGCAGCAGCAGCAGCTCCTGGAGTCACGCGTCAGGGAGGCGGAGAAACGAGCACAGCAGGCAGCGCTGCAGGCCGAGGAGAAGGCCCGGGACAAGGCCAAGCGGGCCGTCCAGAACCGGCAGGAGAAGGAGAGGCTCCAGAAGCTGAACAGGCAGCGCGTGGAGGAGGAGGAGAGGCTGAGGCGCCTGGAGCTGCTGCAGTCCATCGAGAGGAAGCTGGAGAAGAGCGAGCAGATCTTCAGGGAGAAGAAGGCGGTGCTGGAGAGTGCTCGCTCCGTGGCCCGGGCTTCCTTCCARGTCAGAGACAAGGTGAGGGAGGAGACCAACATGCGCACCTTCGATAAGATGGCCCTGGAGGCTCAGCTCAAAGCCAGTCTGGATGAGAAATAAACCCATCGAACTCTTTATGACGGCCTTCATCACTCAGCAGGGCTCCTCTTCCTCCTTCACAGTGATTTTTACCTTTCATCTCGTTACCCAGAACAACTTTCATCATACTCTGACCATTGTTATTGTAGATWCTTAACAAACAGACGTTTTGTATCATTAAGACAACAAAACATATCAGGTTTTAGTCATCACCAGTAAAGCCTGTCGCTCTGACGCTGCTCTTGGCAGGAACAACACTCCTCCACCTGTCGTTTATTTACCTGGGCTTCAGTTTTCAGTCAGCCGACAGACAGCTGTGCTGGAATGAAGAGAGTCTCTGTGACTCTGGAAGCACAACTCCATAACAACTACAGAGGCTTTTTGAGGGCCAATAGCTCCAGGTCGCCAAAGCAAGTGGCCACGCCCTTCTGTGGGAACACAGCGTGGAAATACAAAGCCCGAGGCTGGAAACGTGCTGACTCAGCAGAGGACTGCAGCAGGCCTGACTCTGCTCTTCTTCTTCACCTTCGATCACTCTGACAGACACTCCACACTGGGCTGGACCATCACCTCTYCTCTGTGAGCATGTCTGAGTCGACCTGCCACAGCTGATACCATCCCAACGTTCACTAGTGAGTAAACATGGAATCTAAGAAACATGTTTATTTTTATTTTAGTTGTAGATTTGAAGGGAGAGGGACTTATTCATGGGTTTTTACCATCAGATATAAATGTTGTCAGTGGTGGGCAGCGCTAACACAAAATTTAGCTCCGATATTTCTAAAGTGCTTATGAAAATATTTAGGTCCACAACTTCAAAAACATTAATGTCATAGAAAAATTAGCAGAAGTTAATTTTAAACCGCAAGTTCAATTTGACACTAACTAGCTAACAACAATTTTGTACAATATATGTACAACACTGCCAACTAGTGGTGTATGAACTCTTTTACAACTTAATCCTACAGCCACTGATWGCTGGGGATGTGATTTCCTGAAACAGACCTTTAGCTCCTGGTGTAAAAATTAAAAAGTTGTTGAGGATTGCTAGTTCGGCTGCTTCTTTGTCTTTTTCTTTTGTTTGTTGTACATTTTTCATTAAAGAAGCATCAATAAAGTAATTTAAAAACTGTTTATTGGAAAAATGAAGCAATGCATTGTGGGTACATGACAGATTTGATTTGTGACAGGAAATGAAAGCACAAAGAACAGGAAACTATCTTCCCTTCAAAATAAGAGCTTGGATTTTAAATTTTTTCATGTAGTTGCTCCAYTTGACCACTAGATGTCAGTCTTCATCTATCATAGCATCTTTAAATCGTTTCTGCATCTCTAACCCCGTTGCTTCGACCAATTATGTCAAGTATTGAGCTCCATTTTCACTATGGGAGATTCCATCCAAGATGCCTGACAGCTTCTCACAGGCCCGGACTGCTGTCAGGATCACTTTCATTTTCCAATAAACCAGGACTCCTCCACAGCCGATCAACAGGAATCCAGTTATCATGAATCCAAATATATACAGATCTTCAAAGTCTTTGATAGAAAGCGGGGCCAAACAGATGAGGTTCCACCCCCAAGAGCCAGACACTCACCCAGCCGCCACCATTCCACTCAGACAGCTGCACTCCCCACGCTCTAATCTCAGTGTGGAAAAAATAGTGTTGATTGCGTTCAGAGACCWGTTGACCAAATCCATAATTACCTCTGCCAAGGGCGAGGTAATGTTTTCGGTCGCTTATGTCTGTCCATCTGTCTGTCCATCTGTCTGTCTGTCCGTCCGTCCGTCCGTCCGTCTGTCTGTCATTCTGTCTGTGGACAACATTACTCAAAAACTTGTGGACAGATTGTCATGAAATTTTTACCACATGTGGTACTGGGCCAAGGAACACACCTTTAAATTTTGGTGATGTTCTGGATCACGATGTGGATACAGGAATATTTTTCTTTTAACACTCTGAGATAGGCAAAGCTGTGATGCTTTCACAGGGTGTGGGTTTCAAAGTGTCCAGCAGGTGGCACTGTAGTATCGGTGTGCCCCTTTGTAACTCTCTTACAGGATAGGGGGAAATTGGTCTTGGCGGAGGTTTGCACTCTCCGAGTGCTTCTAGTTCCTTTTGTTTTCGGATGATACGTAGTTAGAAGAAAAAGGCTTGACACAGCCGGAAAGCAGGGAAGGAGGGACAGGTTCGGGAGAGTAAGCAAAAAGCGTCCGACTCGTCTGAAGGCCAAGCAGAAAAAAGTTGCTCTAAGTTATAA